CGGCAGCCACTGGCCCAGCCTGCCGCAGGGCTCGGAGGCCAGGCCGGCGAGGACGGCACCGCGGGCTGGCGTTTAGGATGGTAAGAAGTTCTCGTTCTTTCATTCAGGCAGGACTTGGTGTAACTGCATCTAAACCCGTTCTGTTTCCTTAGCAAGTTTTTGTGTGTAGCGTTTTCTAACCTGCTTTCTGAGCTGCCTCCACGTTCCTCCCCGAGGGGTCACTGAACTTAGTGCATCGGCCCAGCCCGGAGGGGGCGGGTGGACGGAGCCGGGCCAGAGAGCTGCTCCGCAGGGCGCTGGCATTGCCTGAATCCCATAGGTTTGCTCCGGAGGCAGGAAGCGCTCCAGCGAGTGTCTGGACGAAACCAAAGCGAGGGCAGCGGCAGTGAACCTCTGCGTCCGTACACTCGAAATTGCGCCCTTGAATGAGGGTCTAGCAGCCGTGCGACGTCGGACAGACAGTCTGTGCCACGCTCTGGGCCCGGCGTCCATTAGGATGTGGACGTTCGGCAAGCTCGGGGGTATTTTTAGAAGAGGCTTGTTCCTACAAATGAGGAAGTCTGGCAGATGGCTCTTCCGCCTAGATTATTTTTTCTAGCTTTCTCCCAATGCAGGATGGAGAAAACCGGCAAAGCTTCTTTCTCTGAGGACAATGGGGGGAAAAGCCATTCTAAAAACACAGGGCTGCAGCTGCGGGCTCAGTCTCTGAGGACGCAGTGCCACTGGCCCTGTATGTCACCCTGCTCTGCTGTGGCTGTGCCTCATCAACGGGGCAGCAGGAAAGGAAGTCCGAGCTAGAAGGAGTGCATTTATCACACTACGTGAGCATAGACATCTGTTCGGGGCTGTGTCCTTACCGCCCTGATAAGAATGTTACTCACCACTCAAAGAGGAAAGACTCCACTATGTGGTTTTAGCCCATTGAAACCACTTCCTTGAATGATGTGACTTCAGATTTCACCTTCTCGATAGTTTGCGCTGGTTTTTTGAAGGACAAAACTTATCATTAATGAGGAAGAAGTGCCCTTAAGAAAAATAAGTATTGTCTTGTCATGTGTCACTGCGTGTATTCAGATTGCCATTTGGCCTTAGGTCTGGTAGGATAAGCTGTTGGGTTCAGAAGAGTCACCTTTGGAATATTAAGCCCTTTTCAGGAAGCTTGAGGAAACCTATTGCACACACAGACTGGAAACACAGAATGACTTGGTTGTCAGCCTCGAGTGGGCTGGCAAGCTTCCCCTTTCATTTTTAAATCTGATGTGGCCTTGCACATTCTCTAATTAAATTCTCTAGGAGGGCAGATTACACGGGTTTCCAAGGTGGAAGATTTCTGATGCATCTCACACAAGAGTCATCACTCCCAAGATTGTGCTGTTAAGAGACAGGGTCACCCTTTCCCTCCCCATTTACCCCTGAGCATTCCAAACGTGTATTGGGTTTTAGTTACCTGGTGGGAACCTGGGCTTCTTGAGCCTTTTTTTTGTAGAGATACAGTGATGTCCCCAGAAGTCATGATGACATATAACTGTGGCTTGGATACTAAGACTTACAGGAGGCTCCCTACTTCCCTACACACACACACACACACACACACACACACAGTCTGCAGAGAATGTATCCTGCAATCATAGGAATACTCTGATTTTGTCTGCATTTAGTTGGTGAGTCTTCAAAACTGTAACTTTTCCACCATAGTGACTAGATGCAGAACAATTATCCTGCAGAGCCTGAGAAATAACTTTTTCACACACAAGGCTGTTCTGTGGTGGGATCAGTCCTCACCGAGCCTGCCTGTCCGGCTGTGAGGCATCCTGGCCGTCCCAGTGGGCCACCCCTTTGTGCCCCTGCCTTCCAGAGCCTCCCCGACAGGTTCGCAGAGTGGCCATCCCTGGGCTCATTCAGGCCCTGGTGCTTTTTGTTCCTTTTAGAAATGTTTGTTTTTCAGTTTATCCAATATTTCAAGCATACAATAAAGGTCAAAAGTAATGTAACTGTCATTTATGTATTTCCCTAAGATTTTTCAAGTATTAACATCTTGCCATTTTTAAAAATATTTTGAAAATAAAATATTACATTGGAAGGTCCTTTCTTATCAAATTTTCATTTAGTTTCCACTGCTACCCAGAGGAATCACTATCTTGAAGTTGATGAGTATTATTTCCACTTTATTACATATATGTGATATAGAAAAAATATATAACATTGTTGTTTTTAAAATGTATATAAATGGTATATGTACTTAATACCACTTGTATACGATACTTGACTCATTTGAAAGCTACTTGTAATATTCATTTTAAGAGTAATTTTCGGCCCTGGTCAGTTTGGCTCAGTGGTTAGAACGTTGACCCACAGACTGAAGGGTCGCAGGTTTGATTCCCGGTCAAGAGCATGTACCTGGGTTGTAGGTTTGAGCGCCAACCCAAGTCAGGGCCTTGCGGAAGGCAAACAATCAATGTATGTCTCTCATATCAATGCTTCTCTCTTTCTCTCCTTCCCTCCCTTCCATTCTATCTGACAGAAATCAATGGAAAAATATCCTCAGGTGAGGATTAACAGCAACAACAAAAAAGAATCATTTTCATATTGGTACATTAAAATCAAGTGCATTTATTTTGTAATGCTATATAATATTATACTACAATATATTCATTTTTTTTATGATGTACATTGGAGTTTTAACAATCTTTTAAGAAACACATAATCTCGCCCTGGCCAGTTTGGCTCAGCGGTTAGAGCGTCGGCCTGCGGTCCGGAAAGACCCGGGTTCGGTTCCCACTAAGGGCACGTACTTCGGTTGCAGTTTGTCCCCGGCCCTGGTTGGTTGTGCGGGTGGCAGCCACTCGATGTGTCCCTTCACGTCGATGTTTCTCTCTCTCTCTCCCTCCCACTCTACCTGAACAAAAAATGGAAAAATGTCCTCGGGTGAGGATTAAAAAAAAAAAAAAGAACATCTGTGGGCTAACTTCACATTTGAATGTAAATGTAAAAATCCTCAGTTAAACATTAGTAAAACTGAATCCAGCCGTGTGAAGTAAATTAAGTGTATGCAAAGTGTGCAAGTTATTAATGTAACTCATCACATTAACAGAATGAAGGAGGAAAACAGTGACTTTGGTGTAGATGCAGAAAAAGCATTTGATCAAATTCAATAACTATACATGACTTAAGAATATGAAACACTTTGAAAACTTGGAATCAAAACACTTCCTGAACCTGATAAGGAGCATCTACCAAAATCTGCAGCAATCATGCACTTGGTGTTGAAGCAGATCTCGTAATGCTCTGGTACTGAGTTCCCTCTTTTCTTTCAGTGCTTTGCTGTTACTTTAAATAACTGTGTGTGTGTGTGCGCGCGTGCTCATACACATATTTATGTATTTTTTAGTTTTATCTATTTATATACATGTCATCGAGTGTTTTTCTAAATGTGTGGAGTGGTGAGCGGTGCCAGCTCAGCAACCCTGGTGCTGGAATTTCTCCCTCGGCACTTTGCTGAGCCTGAAGACCCAAGAGCCAGCCCAGACCTCTCTGGAGGGGGCGGAGTAGCTGGATTGCCCGAGAGCTGGCTTCTCTCCTCGACTTGGGAGGTGTCGCTACTCACAACTTCAGATTTTAGCTTCATCTGAGAGGCCGTTACTAATGGATCTGATGAGAAAAACGTTTTATGAGACATCCATGATTGTATTTTGCCATAGACCTTCTTCGGGATTTGATATTTCCAGGTTCCCTACAGTGACACTGAAATATAAATATAGCATTAATCGTAATATTGTCTGTCACCGCTGTCACACTTCATCTGAAAACATTTTTCATGGTGGTTCTCAGGGTTGAAGATGGAGGGAGGGAGGGAGAGATTCTTCCAGAAAGCACTTTTCATGGTAGCAGGCAAACTTTCTCTAAACTTCTCTGCTACTGAACAAGGGAGTCCGGTGACTGAAGACCTATACAGGGCCTGGCCACGCTGAACACACAGAATAATCAATACATTCTTGACTGTAAGGTCATATGCATTAAATAAGGAGTTCTGATGCCAAATCAATACTGTATTGTATATTTCCTGCAGCAGATATTGAGATATAGATCTGCTTTCGGGGGAACAAGAATGTCATCAGGAAATACCAGTTCAGACAAACCTGGGTTGCCACCAACAGGGAACGAACGGGATCGATTGTGGTCTGTATCACTTTGTGGTGAAAATGTCAGATCAGAGTGAATATTCATGTAGTCCTTGGAGAGGAGGAAGGAGAAATCAATAAGCTAAACACTCTACCTAATAATGGAACTGTTTTCTCCAAGGCAAAGTTCTTTGTTCTTGAACTTGATATTCCTGTCCCTGATAGGCTGGTAATGCCGTTTTAGAGATGCAACAAAAAGATTTCGTAGGAAGCCTAAGGGTAGATTTATTCCATAGCTCTGGAAAAAGGGGACAGTTAACATGGTTCTACCTGGGCATTGCATCAGAAGTCTAGTCAAAATTTAAATGGAGTTTCTTTTAATTCCAAGGAACAACCTAGATTCTTTGAATCTATGTCAAAAGAGTACCAGGCAAAAAAGAAACCCCACTTTTTTAGTCTTGATTTGCAATTCACTTGTTTTGTAATCTTGCAAAAGCTACCCAGTCTCTATATATCTCTATACATTGGCTTGCGTGATAACATTCTATTTTTCTTTGTAGAGTTGTTACACAGGGTATAATAGACAACATACATGTTTTAGCAGACAGGGTCAGAATACAAAGGCGGTTGCTCCCAAATCATGATTTTGGCATTTGTCTAAATTTAATAGACTCACTTCTCCTAACCACACTCAAGAAATCTCCCACCGTTCATGTGCATAAGGTTTCAAAAGAGCCCCTGTTCTCTTTTCTCAAAATTAGTTTTTCAAAACTTGCTGGCATTGGTCAGGTTTCAAGAGCATAGTAGATTCATGGTCAACCGGCCTGGTTTATTACTAGAAACCAAATTAATCACTTTCATTGTTTGTTCCCAAATTTTCAGGCACCTTTTGAAAATGAACAAGAGCAGCTCTGATTTGGAGAAAGCGAGCCAGGGCTCCGCAGAGAGCCTCAGCCCGTCCTTCAGGAGCGCCCACGTGAGCTTCACCACGGGCTCCACGGACAGCCTGGCCTCGGACTCCAGGACCTGCAGCGATGGAGGTAACAGACTTGCCTTTACGGGGAGGCTGAGGTTCCCCCGAGTCTGGAAGGCCAGGCCCAGGTTAACTGCCAGGATTCTGAAGAGCTGAGCTAGACCTACTTTCTGGGCCCTGGTTTCCCCAAGAAGTAGACTCTACCAAGGAGCAGTTGACTTTTATTCTCTAGTGAATATACGGCAAGATGCCTTATCCCATGTCACGCTCTCTAATTACACACAACGCAGCAACCTGGCAACAGGGCGGGAGGAGGTGAAGTTGAAAGCATGTTGAAAGACTCCTGATTCCTTGGGTAATGAGCCATCTATGTGTAGGTCTGCTCTCCGTTTCTGTCTTCCGGATTAGTTCTCAGGGGATTGGGTAATGCCAACCACAAGTTTCCTCTTTCTTGCCAAACCTCTGTGTTTCTCTCCCTCTTTCTCCGTTCCTCCTCCTCCCCCGCCCCTCACCTCATGGTCTCTCATGTACATGCATGCACACACATGTGTACACATGCACACAACTTGGACACAGCAGGTGTTTACGTAAATGTCTATTAAATTAAAAGCATGCAGGCTTCATTAAGGTAAACCATGCACCCCACTTTCTGGAGGAAGCTCTGAGGCATAATATGTGGGTATGTCCTGGCTGGTTATATTCCTGAAAAGGAACTCTTGTTTTTCCGTAGTTGTGATGGGTAGTACTAAAATCTCTCACCCTTGAAACACTTGTTACATGCGTGTGTCCTCTCCTGCATTTCCCTTGGACTTGGCCGTAGCAGGTTAGGTTTTAACATGTGCTAACATGACTTCCTCTCTCACTCCTGTGGAAGTATTTCTTCTCAGTAGGCAACTGTGGAGCAGAGGGTTCTGCTGGAAACTTACTGTCACCGCCATTTTTCTATGTAAAGGATGAGTACCGCTAAGACAAAAACATATGTTACACGTCAGCCTGTGCTGTGTTCTGATGGGAAACTTCTGATAGCTCCAATTTAAAAACAGGAAATATCTTAGCCTTGATTCGGTGGGATGTGACCAAAGAGGATTTTCTTTCTGCAGATTTTCCTGGGCTTCTATCTTTTTCCTTTCCCATCCCATTGTGCAAACATTCCGCAAGGCAGATTACTCCACGGAGGGCTGGGCCAGGCCTGGGAAGCATTAGCCTGTGCTGGTCAGCCCTGACCTGCTCTCTTGGGGTTGTGACCAGTTCCGAGAGAGCAGCCTGTGGGGGAGCCCTCCATCGGCCACCGGCCAGCTGTCGGTGCTGAGAACCGGCTTAATCGCCTCAGCGCTCAGAACCAGCAAATAAATCCTGCTGTTCACTCTCAGAGCCTGTAAGATCTCTCTAGGAAGATACAGTTAGAACGTGGGACATTGAGGTGGATGGAGTAAGCTAGGAAATCGGACTGTCTAGGACATGGGTGCTTATAACGGCTTCTGGAAGGAGAAATCAATGAGAGCTGATGGAGGGCTCAGGGAAGGCTTTTCGAGAAAGTGGGGCTTTAGCTCCTGTCTGAAGTGTGGTGAGAATTGAGGAGGAACGGGCTTTGCAGATTAAGGGGACCCTAAAGAGGAACAAGGCTCAGGGCAGAGAGTAAGGCCAGCCTGCCACAGGGGCGGGGGGAGGGGACACTGCTGGAGAGGCTGCAGTGTACAAGCCCTGGAAACCGATCTGGGGGTGGGGAAAGGGAGCCTCTGGGGGTTGCTGAGTGTGAAGATGACACCAAACCTAGGCATTTTTTAGTTAAAATGATTACATTTTTATGGCTATTCCTTTATCACGATCTAGTTATTCGATGGAAATGCACTTCAAAATATGGATTCCCAAGTCCACAAGAAGGTACATATCTTGTTTAGACTCTGAATCTTTAGAGCATCCTGTTCTAACTACGGCTGCTGTGTGTGGTTCTTACCCAGAACCATGCTTTGAAACTAGCAAGAGACCAAGGCGGGGGTGGGGGCTCCTTCTCTCTCTCTCTCTCTCTCCCTCTCTCTCTCTCTCTCACTCACACACACACACACACACACACACACACACACACCCTTCACTCAGCTTCTCATCATGAACCAAGCTGCTTGCTTTGGATACATTATTGAATAATCACCTTCCAGTCCCATGAGTCTTTGCTCACTTTCACCATGTAGCTGAAATATCACCCCTGGTGCCTTCTATCACGGTGCGTCCCCAGTACTGTATGTCACCAGTGCTGACGCTGAGAGAGTGGCCCTGAGTGGGAGAGGTGGGCTTAGTTCAGGCCGAAGTTCCTGGACACCAGAATGTAGGGTCTACCTCCCATGCTCCATATAGATGTAATCTACCTTTAGACTATATACTTACTTTGCCAGCAGGAATTCACTAGTGAAAACAATGCACTGACCTTTGCATCCAGTCTCGGCTGGCCAGAGTGTGGTGGACAAAGTCCTTCCAGGCGTATCATAGTAGGAGCATGTGTGGACTTCTTGGAAGCTTATCAGGATTCATGGTTCAAGTTAGATTTTTCCTATTCTGGTTTTGTAGCCAAAAAAAGAAAATTTTAAATTTTATAAGAAAAACCATCATAATCCATAACTTTGTCGCATTTTAAAAACGAATTTGTCTACATTTTATGTTTACAGAACATCATTTTTGTATTCATATCAACTGTACGTCTTTATGCTTATATCACATTTCATGCTCCTCAAAGCACATCTGTTATCCCATTTGTCCATGTGGGCACTTGAACCGTGAGTCAACTCAGTGGAAGGAAAGATCCGTCTAAGCAGTTGTCTGAGCTCAGTGTGGGAGGGACGGAGCACACGTGTCAGGACAGATCCGTGGCGGCTGCCAAGGGCGAGCTCCTCTGTGTGATTGGGCGGGTGGGTGAGGGGGAGTGACCCCGTAATGAAATGGTCATCAGAAGACTCTTGTGCTTCAGATGGTTGCTTATGTATGTGCAAGCCTCATGTCCGCTGAGAGGATCTTCCTTTCCGGTTTAGGAGAGCAAAATCCAGGTCAGCACCTGCACCAGCATCTGTGGGGGCCGGGTTCCCCCAGCCCAGGAGCTTGGGTGCTTCACTGCACTGAAACCATTGGCACAAACACCAGATGAGAGGTCTAGCTATGCAGTGAGCACAGGTTCATACCAGGGAGAGGTCGGTCTTACTTTCACAGCTAGCAAACCAGAGATACAGAAAGTGAATTAAAGATCTTGACCGTAGTCAGCTTGTTGTTCTCCATAATAATGCCAAGTAGGTTTCTAAAATACATGCATAAATTCAGTCATTGATTTCATAGGTATTTGTTGAATGTAAACTGTGTGCTGGGCACAATTCCAGATTGTGAAGATACAACAGTGACAAAAAAAAAAAAGTGCCCAGTCCCTTCTTTCATGGAACTCACACTCCAGTGGGGGAGGTGGACAGGGAGGAAGATGCAGGAGTGAAGTAGCCAGCGTGTCAGGTGCTGGTAGGTGCTAAGGGGGAAATCGAGCCAGGAAGGCGGCAGGGAGGCTGGGAGGACCTGTCAGGGGGAGACACAGAGTCCACAACGATCAGACATCAGTCAGAATACGGGAGAGCCTGTCCTGCACCAAGCTTTGCTCCCCCTCTCAGACCGTTACCTGAGACTCTGTAAGAAGACATAGTTGTTGTTTTTTAAGGCGGTCTTGAAAAAGGCGTCTAAAATTCTCTAGCTAAAAATAGTGTGTTTTCTGCCCTGGCCGGTTTGGCTCAGCGGTTAGAGCATCGGCCTGCGGTCTGGAGAGACCCAGGTTCAGTTCCCGCTAAGGGCGCGTACTCGGTTGCAGTTTTTCCCCGGCCCTGGTTGCTCGTGCGGGTGGCGACCACTCGATGTGTCCCTTTCACGTCGATGTTTCTCTCTCTCTTTGTTCCTCTCTCTCCCTCCCACTCTACCTGAACAAAAAATGGAAAAATGTCCTCGGGTGAGGATGATAAAAAAAAAAAAAATAGTGTGTTTTCTGACTATTAACCAGGCTTGTTAAAGCATTTGATCCTAAATTGATGGGTTTAATCTACTATATTATATTGTCATGGGTTCTGTTCTGGGAGAGCTATTAAGAATGAAGGATGAAGAAGATATCCCAAAGGGAAAAAATATTCATTTTTCAGATTGTGTGTGGCCTGAGCCCTTACAAAATCACTAAAGTGAAGCTTCATCTTTGTTTAAACGATTTTCATTCAAACTGAATTCTAAATACATATAAGTACTTTAATAAAGTCAGCACATGTCTATGGTAAATTCCAACAATGGAGAGAGGTATGAAATCAACAGTCACAGTCCCCAGACACCCCCATCACAGCTTCCCACACCCCCTTTGAACATTTTTTTCTGTATCATCTCAGAAATTTCTATCCATATTTTAAATGTCATAAACTTTATTTCTGTGCATTTTTGTTCTTAATATATCTTGAAATCTTTTAAATCACAACCTCTAGATCTAACTCATTTTCTTTTAATACTGCATAGTTTTTCATTGTATGAATTGGTTAAACCTTTCTCTTATCAGTGCATATTTAGGTTATTTTCATTAAAAGTCTACAGTGAGATTCTGTGACATACCGTGAAGTAATTTTGTGGATATAGCTCTAAGATAAATCCTTAGAAGTGGGAATTATGTGTCAAAATATATCTGCGTCTTAAATAGATGTTACCAAATTATCCTCTAAAAAAAATGTCAATTTACGCTTCCATCCACAGCGTGTAAAAGTGCTCTGAGCTAACTTTTAATTTCACTGTTCATTTGGAAGAAAACCTTAATGACTGTGTTAGAGCAGGGGATTGAAAGAGCGTGATTCCTGAGCACACTTGGGCTGTAGGCATGGAATGTTGTCCGTGAGCCTTTTTTCCAGACGGAGACGGTGCGGCTCTTTTGCATGTAAATGGCATTCATGTCTTGATTATTGTTTCTTGGGATGATTAAGTGGTCCAGAGAGACTCCTCACAAATGCCACATTTGCCATCCAGTTGTAAAATGCTAATAACATGCTTCCATTTTCAGACCACGTTTACCTTCTTGAAAAAGCAAGG